TAAATACGAGTATAAGAAACTGGTTTTGTAATTTTGTTTTATGTGTAAGGTTATTCGATTCGATAATCCTTTGACTAGTGTGTTTCATCTTATGTAGTTGTATTGTAATATAATGTGGTAGGTACTTATGATGCCACAAAAAGTTATCTGGCGTGCTTTTGACTACGTATAATACATTACATAATTAAAAATGGACATAGGCATCTATGTTATGTAAATTCCCTCCACCAAAGCCCCAGGGAGATTCTCTGACACAAAAAACATATATCTGAGATAATTTACACAGCGCCTTAAGCCGCCTTAAGGTCGAATGTTAGATGTATAAATCGAATAATGTACTAGAATTTCTACCCATGGGTTAGCAAAATAAGAAAAAAGAAAAACATGCTAATTCTTGCCACTAATCCAAAACACCCTCGGCTAATCCATACAATATGCTAACAATAATCCAATAAATTGCCTCATCATGATTACCATATTATGTACCAGCAGTTTGTTACCGAACGGAAGTGACCAATCGCGTGCGCTGCCGGGAGTCCCCCCACCAAACTGCTTCCGGTCACGTGACGTCATTTACATGACAGTTGAACGTACGACGCTCGAGAGAACGGACGTGCGGACGTTTTTGTTTATGGTTTTGGGAAATGATACGTCATCTAAGTATGTTTTTGGAACAACCTAAAAAATCTTTGTCAATATTATTATTGATAGAATAGATAGTTCTTTTTTATCCACAACGAGGAAGCTCTTGGCCTGTATTTCACCTGATATATGTGTATAGATACTGGCGATTTAAATTCAGTACATTAATTTTTACTTTTCTTTTTACGAGTAAATAACTTGAAATATTTCTTCTGACTATGATGTGGGCTGCAATTACCGAAGGTTACCAATCCCTGGTGTCAGACTTCATGACTTCAGACGATCTGCGTCATCTTTACGACATTGAAATATTATTTTAAAACTTTTAATGGACAATATGTTCGATTTAATGATAAAAAGCACGGATTTTTCATATTAAACGAATTCCGGAGTCCAATAAAATCGCTCAATATAAACATGGTCTTGCATGATTTGCGAAAAGTGTAACTAATCTATCAATTTAACCACGGTTTGTTAGGTACGTCTGTGCTAGGGTTGCCATCGTTCTTAACCAATAAAAATTGGTACTGTGTTTTTTTTTTGGTGTTGATTTCCTTAACTTTACTAGCTTAGAAGCTTATCATGTTAGTTAATACCTAGGTACCTGCGGCTTGGTCTACAAAATTTTCTAAAAATTATAAGCATGTGCTTTTCTAATGTTTTCATTCAGATTTGTCGTGTAGGATTTGCTTTGGTGTACAAAGATCATTGTAAACTTGTAATCAATTTTCAATTAATCAGTCCATCCATATCAATACTCTTACTTACGGTGAGTAGATTTGAGACTATTGGCTAATACTTACTTACATGGAAAAACTTCAGTCATTATTGTCCTACTCGCATAATACGCACGTTGTTTAAATGATTTCAAGTAACGTAAGCTAACTGACCTTTATGTGAGGCCTTTGTCCAGCAGTGGACGTCATTTGGCTGAAACCAACGCAGATAACTGACGTCCACGCTCTACATTTTTGGACAGTTTGTATTTTAAGAGATATTGATACTTCACTGTCGATCTACATGTACTAATTGGCAGCCCTACACGTGCCCAGGGGTGCAACGCACTATGAAACTGCGAAAATTCTCGCTTGTCATTTGTTGGGATTCGGTGCCGGCGTGGAGAATCGCGGGCGCTTCGCAGATTACGTTCCCGGGCAGTAACGTAAAAACGCCATTATGGCCAACTGTTTTCGGCGGTTGTTTTAATCGTTTTACCTCAATTCGGGTAATTCGCCGGTAAATGCTCTGAGAATTGCAGCTTTGTGAAACTGGCCGATGTTTTTTAGTTATTTTAATTGTTCCAACAATCACAACAATCGAGCACCGAATTAAACAAGGCTTGTATTGACGCCAGCTTAATATCACAATGCACATTTTATTGTTAACCTTCATCGCATTTTTACTTGAATTACATTACTGGTTTTGGTATTAACTCTTAATATAACGTTCAAACTAAAACAACGCAGAAATTAATATGATAAACGTAAAAGCCTACACCGAAAATCCGTTACGAATCGAAACAACTTGCAAATCCCTTCGTTAAGATGTCGACAGAATGTTATTATTTTCCACGATTCAATTACGGCGATCAAATTGAAAATTGAAATTTCAATTCTGTTATCGATACTAATTTCGAATCGTAATAACTTAACAGTTAATCAACTGGCACCATTGACGAAAGGCTTGCACCCTCCGTGTCCAGAAGCCTTAGATCAAAGGGCATGGCCGACACGAACGTAACAAAAACTCAATTATAACCTTAAAGGGTTTAATTTACTACGAAACCGTAGATCCAAGCGAGGACTCTTAAAAGTCACGCTTTGTTCAAGTTTCAGTTGTAAGGATGCGTGAGACGATCGCGGTTATGGAACTTTGGAACGTATTTGGAATGCAAAATTGACATTGGCGAAATCATGGTTCTCAAAACCAAGCCGTCGCCAAAATAAAAGAAGAAGAAGAAGGAATGCAAAATTGGAATGTCAATTCGAAGTTTGATGAATAAAAAATAATTGTAATAGGTACCTACATGAGTAGGAATTATCAATGAAAAAGATAATTCGTAATGCTTTGTAAAAGTACATTATCTCAGCATTAAATGAAGAAAGTAAATTGAATTGTCGTATGCAACCTTGGAACATTCTCAAATAGTTTTTCAATTTCTGGCTGTCCCATCTGGTAATCGAACGACCTCCAAGTACTGAGTTGTAACAAATGAAACAGAGAACATCAGATCATCCATAAGCCGAATCTAAAACAGCTAACGGTTCGGAAAATGGGAATTTTCCGGGAAATTTAACGCATTCAAATGTACCCGCGGACGTATTGAAAAGGAAACCCAAATTTCCCATTTGCGCCCTGTGTCCGACCTTTTTACACAATGACGGGAACTGGGAACTATGTATATGTATTAGTATTATGTCGGGAAGCCGGCTTTGTGCCGGACAGTCGGTGCAATTCAATGCGGAATATTGTTGGCCAGATTAGAAAAATGATGAGCTCCCCACGACCGTACCTGGCGAAATATGGCAAGGTTGGAGCATTTCATTCAACTGCAAAAGGTTTTGTAAGCTTTGATTAATGAAAGTGCGGGATATGGTGAAGATATATCTTGGATAATGTGAAGTACTTTTATTTCTAGTACTATTTTGATTAGTATTGTGATTTTTCATTAATCCTGTCAAACCCCGATGTAGGTCAGTCTATTCAAATCCAAAATCGCGCCCATCAAAAATATTCGCTCTATATTTTATTAAATTAAAAAAAATCTCTTGAACAACTCCCAAAGTGAAATTTCCATCGTTTTCACGCCAATACCAGACAGAGACATCGGAAAATACCCACCAGAGATGACAGCGAATTTAATTATAAACATAATAAAAATTCTCGAACATCCCTTTGAATAAGCGAGCTACTTGGTGTTGACGAAAAATAAATTGCCAACCAACAACGGACCTTATTACTCGCTTAATAGGACAGACGCTCCCCAATGGCGTCGTCATCCGACTGAAAATTAAAAGTGCTGTCTACAATATATTGTAGATGCGATCGACGTCAGAATAAGGGTTTCTCCTATATTTTTATGTAAATTCAAATTGCGTGTATTTCACACGACAAGACATCGAGTGGACGATTTCGATTTGCTCATAATGCTAAACGGGTCCTTGAATTGCGATGACATCCTAATTCGATCAAAAGGTTCTTTATTTAAATATTTGTTGATATTTTATTAGACGTTAATGATCAATTCGAACGCTAAGGGTTTCAAAATCTCATTTGAAATCAAAACAGATGACGAGCTCGGAATAATCCGATTCGTAACTGAAAACAAATGAACTAACCCGGGGTAAGGGCGATTTAATAAACACCTCTAAGGAACTGACCGTTAGTTAATATTACTCGAGGGCCGGCAGATTATTCATGGCACAATGAAATAATTAATTGGTGCTCAAATCCCGGGTTCCCGGCGCGCCATTATGAGAGTTGTTGTTGGCTCAATAGACCTCTGTCCATACACAGGCCACTTGCGGACTGAGGTGTGAATTAACACTTCGGATTCCGGCGGGAACTATTTCGAATTTGGAACGCGGTGAGATTATCTGAGTTATTTTTTTATGGCCAGTAACTTAAAAATAAAATACGAAAGGTCGCGCAACATGTTACCTAATGATTTTAATTTTATGTGATTATGATCTGTTTTACTATTCACTAATATGACCTTTGAAACTCGTAAAATTCTTAAATGCACTATAAAAGATGTAAATCAATGCGCACGCAATAACAGTAATTTTTCGAAGTTGCTTAAAAAAATCATTAATTTTTGAAGAAAATTTAATTAATCTCGCTTGTATGTTTAAGTTTAATTTTTTTGGTCTACTAGTACAATAAAACAAATATTTTTATGTCGACTAGTTTAAATAATTAAGAAATTAGTAGGTGCATTAAGTCTTTTTTCGTAACATGGATTTGTTGTCAGTAATTGGAATAAGGTTGTGTTATCAACTTTTTGCCACTTTGGGTGTCACGAACTGTTTGGCGCTGACTGTACCTGACGCCAGTAGGTGCCAGTTTCCATATTGCTCTTTTTGTGTGTTTTTCTTTGACGATCGATGTGACGAGGCATGTGACGATCGATCGAGACTTAAGCTGGGTTGCACCATCTTACTTTAACTTTGACAAACGTCAAAAATCTGTCAAATTTCATACAAAAAACACCGGTTATTGTCAAAGTTACGGTCAAAGATAGGTGGTGCAACTCAGCCTTAGTGATCTTCTTTCGCCATGGCCGGCCGAGGAGGGTTATTTTATGTACCATCAAACTTGTTTTTGATAAACGATTTACCATTCTTTTTTTTCACCAGGCATGGCAGGAGGTGGCATGGGGCAAGCCATGGGCGGCTACTACGGAGCGGCGTATGGGCCGCTTGGAGCCAGCATGGCCGCCGCCGCCGCTGCAGCTGCCCAGCAGAACGCCATCTCTGCTGCGCTGACGCCTAACGCTCAGGTAAGAATTATCAGGTCATTTATTTATTTATTGATAAAGGTACACCAACAGCAATACACATTTAAGACATTCACAGTCTGTATACATCACATATTTTATTCTCCTCTAAACCCAGGTAAGATAGAAAAAGAAAAAAAAAGATATCAACATCAACAGATGATTTAGTCCCTACTGCAGGATTACTACGCTGTCTAATTTCATCATCATCATCACTAGCAGATCATTTATTCTCCACTGTAGGAGAGCGACCCTCTTCATTTTCATCGTCATCAAATGAGTTTTGTTTTTAAAAGTCTTAGTTTTTAACGAAATTATATTGTTTCCAACCATACCTTAGCGACCTCTATCTTCCTTTTCGTAGCCTTCGTTGGGACACAAAGGCTTATAATTATACAGTCAAGAGTAAAGCTATAAGTACGTAGCATTAGCATATTTATACAGGGTGAGTCTTGATGAAGTGCACATATGAAAATAGGTGAAACTAGACCTATTTTTATCGATGGAAAAATGACAAAAATCTCAGATATTTGTTGTCCTTCAATCTTCAATAAAAATGGGTCTAGTTTTACCAATTTTCATATGTGCACTTAATCAAGACTCACACTGTATAGCTACGTAGATTGTGACGAGAAGAGATGAGACCAGTACCGATGCACAAACAGGATACAAGAAGGTTTGAAAGTTTCTTTGTAAAATAACGTATAGCGTAGTACCGTAACTGACTAACTTAACTTCCAACCCTCGTTTAAGGGTAAGACAGCACTAAATGATTTCGTCAAGTATCGAGGAAGTGGCGTGAAATTCCACGGCGTTTAAGGGTTGATCCGTTTAGGCTGTGAAATTGGGAGGTTCGTGCGAGATGCGTTTCATTAGCTGATAACTAACAGGAATTTAATGCAGTGTAGAGTTGCCGTACTGATAGAGAAGATATAGAAAGATTATAGATTTTCTTCGTGCAATTAAGTTCATTTGTAGTGGAGCTTATTACTGGTTAAGTTAATCTTTTGCTGATTTCGTAGAACTGAGTTTAAGATAAACTAACTGGTACCTAATTATCTAGTAACCTCGTTCGTTTCAGCCGAAAGACGTCCACTGCTGGACAAAGGCCTCCCCCAAGGATTTCCACAAAGACCGGTCCTGCGCCGCTTGCATCCAGGTACCTCCCGCGACCTTCACCAGATCGTCGGTCCACCTAGTGGGAGGCCTGCCCACGCTACGTCTTCCAGCTCGTGGTCGCCACTCAAGAACTTTCCTGCCCCAGCGGCCATCAGCTCTTCGAGCTGTGTGCCCCGCCCACTGGCACTTGATTTTAGCGATTCTGCGGGCTATGTCAGTCACTCTGGTTCTCCTACGGATCTCCTCATTTCTGATACCTGTAACCTACTTAGTAGGTATCTATTGATTGATATTTAAAAATCAAACTTAGTGCAGAATATACCTGCTGTTCACTTTGGCAAAATAGACCCTGAAAAGTGCTGACACACTGCCTTAAGAAATATACCTACCCTCATTAACGATCACGCATTAACACGAGGTGGCGAGAAGGCGGGCCACCGAAATTGATAATAACCGTTTCATGAACTGCTAAATTAGAATTTCGTTAAAACTCAATATTTCAAAAGAATCTAATAATCATGTCCTCATAATTGCCGTGTCTTATACAGGGTGGCGAAAGCGAAATTTTTAATGCACCATAAAATAAAGTGCGAAAAGTATGAAAAAATGTTACGGTTATTATGAAATTAACCCGAACTTGCTATTAGCTAAATATGCTTACGCATGATCCTGATACTTAGTTACTCTCAAAATTTAATAATCACCATATGGCAGAGGGTTAACGAGCCGGAAAATAAAGTGCTAAATTAGTTAATTTAAGAAAATTGAAAGGTAAAGATTTGATAAAAAAATGTCGGCAACTTACAAAGGATGAAATGTGATAATGACCGTATGACGAAAAAAATTATTTTTCAACTTAGGTAGTTACAGTCAGTCAATGCTTCAGTATATTAACTGCACTCTACCGTTCAGTGCCCAAATTAAGAGAAATATAAAATCTCTAAATAGAAATCCGTCAAACCGTCCAGATTAAACAAACTCGCTAAGGCAACAGACTTACGAAAAACTTTCGAACAGCTAGGGACTGGAATTCGTTGCCTGCTGCTGTCTTTCCCGAAGACTATAATCCGGGTCTGTTCAAGGCGAGAGTGAATAGGCACTTACAGGGCAGATATGTACCATTCTAGACTGCATCCCACTTAACATCAGGTGCGATTGTGGTCAAATACCTGCCTTGTTAAGCATAAAAAAAACATAACCCTCTTTCGGCATTCGTCCAAAACACACTTCCACCACGATCTTAATCAAAATCCCACTTGTCACCTGACCATAGTAATACCAATAATGTTCCGCGACAGATGGCGCTGGATTCCCATTACTGGTGTCTCCGACCAGCCCCTGCTAATCATTTTGTGACGACTCACCGGCCCGGGTATAAACAATGCCTGGGGCTGGTAGGGCGGCCAGGGGTTGCGGAAAATTTGGGACAGTAATGAAAGATTTTCTGATTAATTTTATTTTTTTCTCAATAATAGTAAGAAAGTCCTTGTCACTCCAAATCAAATCAAAAATATTTATTCAATTTTGATCAGTATTTTGGCACTTATGACTAGAATATTAATGTAATGCATTCAAAATCGAGTCTAAGTTATAATCTTTCTTCTTAAATAAAAAAAGTATCGTGGCGCTTTATAAAAAAACACGGATTTCTATATTAAGATCAAGGAAATAGATTAAGGTAGCTCAGGGAAAAACACGTGTAAGAAACGAGTGTTGTACGGTGTGCGAAATACTCTATTACTCTATGTAGTTGCCAGTTACAAATCTCATAATAACAAAGTCGGGAGAGTTATTACTCTCGAATCACCGCTAGTGTGAATAGCGTAGGTACTCTATGTTTTATTTATATTTTCGTTGTCTGATAAATACGAGTATACACGTAACCTGCTAATAAAATGGCACTTGACTAAAACGTAGTATTTAATAAAACCTTTTTTTACGATTTTTTGATGATTTTAATAAATGTTCTACTCACTCACTTTTATTAGTACTGATGTTATGATGAGTCTTTCTAAGAACTGCAATTGTAATATTTTTATTTGGATTTTTTTTTGTGCTTATGAAAATAACTTTTGTTTGACACATTTCTACCTCTTAGATTGAGTTGCACCACCTAACTTTAACGGTAACTATGAATGATGATAACAGGTGCTTTTTGTATGGAGTTTGACAGATTTTTGACGTTTGTCAAAGTTAAAGTAAGATGGTGCAACCAACCCTTAGTTAATTTATAAAAAACCAAAAGGACACTGTTTGAGCTGGATACAAAACAAATCCACCATGATCTTTCAGAAATACAATCCCACACACAAAGTTAATGTAGGACACTTCCTGAAATCAATAAACCATGGAGACCCCATTGGAAACCGTTTGCCATCGCTCCCTTCCTCGCCATGACGAGTAATGGGAGGGATTGAACAAGCGAGGCTAATGTCGTTAATTTGTTGTACAACATGATCATTAATTTTTAATATCATAATTCAATTTCAAATACTGTTATGTCATATGTTTAAATCAGTGTCCATTAATTTAAATAAAGGTGACGCGCGGAGTTCGTCAACGTATGTTTTTTGGTTTAGTAATTGTTTTAAGTGATTAAAATCCTAGGCACAGACCATCGATTTTTCGTCGGTCGATAGTTTAGTCGGACAGTTGATCAGTATGGGCATGTATGGAAGTGCGCACATTACACCGATTCGATTTGGCCGATTCTTCAAACAATTTAAAATCGGGCGCAACTATCGGCCAACTAAAAATCGGTGGTCTGCGCCTAGTCTTAAGGCGATCGAAAGTTGCTACATCGAATACCTATCATGGTCGAGAACGCGATATCGTAAAACGACGCGATGGTACGTCACATCGAATGTCGTGACAGCGAATGAGTTGTGATATTTTTGAATAGACAGGTGTGGGTCGTTAAGAAATTAAATTACCGAATGAACACCCAAGATTTTGCATTGGATAAATTGGAGGATTTCACGCTCCGGTCCTCCGGTCCTCAGGAGTCCTCGAGTCCCGGTAGTCGCTAATAAGCCGATTGTAGCCCCGTCAGCTGTCTTGCAGCTCCTTGAGGCACGGTTATTGCACTTTTTAATGCCGCAATTATTTTTCTTTCAACGCACGTCAATGCGGAGCGTAATCCTTGATCCAATAACGCTGTGAGATGGCTTTTGTAGCAGCTGGTGTTGGGAATGCTTTGTTTATTTTAGTCCTGTTAGTTAGATATATTATTTTGTATATTGCATTGATTTTAACTGGGTATTCCCGAGCAATAAGAGTTATGTTAATTTCGTTGTGGCTCCAATGACAGTTTAACTATCCTTCGGGACAAATTGAGTACTTGACCTTCACTGGCTTTTATTGGCGATCAAGCTGTAGATCCTGGCTACACAGGAGTTGCAGCTGTGAGAACGAGAGGTGGGAATAGTCACATAAATAATATGAGTTATTTGGCTGCATATTTATTTCAAAGCGAAATAACTTCTCGATGCGTTGTTAACGTGTGATTTTGTTGAAAAAATATCGCTGCATAAGCACAATCATCTTTAAGGCATATCCTCAAGAGCAACTTAATCAAAATCAACACACAAATCTCAATCCCAAGACTAATCCAATAAATAACCCATAAACGGATCTTCAGATCCCCTGTTTAGCGCGTCTCCGTCACATCCACGAGATTAAACGTCAAATAAAGAGGGGAGTTTTAAATCGAGGGCGAGCCCTCCGACTTGTGTGTCAAGTAGTGTTTTAATTTGAACGGTTAGGGAGTTTGAAGGAAGAGATTTTGTAATTACGCGGGCAAACCTTGGGGCAAAAGAAGTCAAGCTATGATGTTGACTTTACGCGTTGGATGGGTGACCGAGTATTTTGACCTAGTTTTTATG